TCTTTCTCTCTCTCTTTCTCTCTCTCTCTCTCTCTCTCTCTCTCTCTCTCTCTCTCTCTCTCTCAAAAAAAGACTTATCAGGCCACAATGAAAACCCAACGAAATATACTTAAAGCCCAGGAGTTTAAGTTTACTGTGGTTCTTTCTAATCTTAAAGGCTTATATTTTATGGGTCAAAACTATATTAATAAACAAGTAGTCATTTTGTATTCCATGAGAAATAGTAATGATTTCTAATGTAAAATGTAGTACTAAGTTACTTAAGTTTTTACTCAGAAAATAATGTGGTAGATACTGTTAATATTTAGCAATTAAAACATTCTGTTTTGTGTTACCATATTTATTGAATAGTCTGCCTTTTTCGTTAACATTGTTCATCAAAATAATTTAATAACTACTTTTTAAATTTAATGTTTTATTGATTCTGTAATTTGATAAAGATAATAACTACTTTTTATTTTTATTGATTTCAGAGAGGAAGGGAGAAGGAGAGAGAGAGATAGAAACATCAATGATGAGAGAATCATTGACCAGCTGCCTCCTGCACACCCCCCTACTGGAGATGTGCCCACAACCAAGGTACATGCCCTTACCAGAATCGAACCTGGGACCCTTGAGTCCGCAGGCTGACGCACTATCCACTGAGCCAAACCGGCTAGGGCAATAACTACTTTTTAAAAAACAAAATGAATAATTTGCTTTTCTTTTTCTGAGTAAAATTAAAGATAATTTTACCCTGTGAAAGGATTTGAGTTTTTTTCATAAAAAGTATTATATAAATTCTAATTACTAATTATGATAATTACATAATGACTCTAATAAGAGGTAGAACCTATATTATTAATTGCTTCTGCATCACTTCTGAAGATCTACAAATATCTCATTGGTTTTAGCAGAGTAATGTAATTGTTAATTTTGAGGTCTTATTGAAGCTTAGTATAAATTCTGCATTGCCTTAGCTGGTTTGGCTTAGTGGGTAGAACATCGGTCCGTAGACAGAAGGGGCGCAGGTTCGATTCTGGTCAAGGTCACATACCTCGGTTGCTTACTCAATTCCCGGCCCCAGTCAGGAGGCAACCAATCGATGTGTCTCTCCTCTCACATCGATGCTTCTTTCTCTCTGTCTCTCCTCCTTCCTTCTACTCTGTCTGAAAAATCAATGTAAAAATATTCTTGCGTGAGGATTAACAAATAAACAAACAAAAAGCCCTGGCCCATGTGGCTCAATTGGTTGAGCATCATCCTGTGCACTGAAAGGTCGGTGGTTTGATTCCCGGTCAGGGCACATACCCAGTTGCAGGTTCAGTCCTCAGTCTGGGTGTGTACCAGAGGCAACTAATCCATTCTCTCTCACTCTCTCTCTCTTTTCCTCTTCCTCTCTCTCTCTCTCTCTCTCTCTCTCTCTCTCTCTTTCTCCCCCTCCCATCCCTGAGTGCATGTTCTGCCTTCCTCTCTCTCTCTAAAGTCAATTAAAAAAAACATATTAAAGAAATTCTGCATTGCCCTAATTTTAAGTTAATTTAAATACAGTATTAGGGGATTATACATAGGACTGAATTAAATTCCTCTGCAAAATCCCATAACCTTTTAGTCTGATTTTCCAGAATCTAGTCAAAATAACCAAGGAAACATTACTATGATTGATTACACTATATTCATGGTTCTAGTGGTTCATGTATTTTGCTGGTCCTAGTATATATTTTAGTCAAACTAATGGAAATTGAATTTACATTTAATACTTCCTCTAATTGCTTATGTTCAAAAGCCTCCGAACCATGAAGAAAAATAAATTGCTTCTGGATATAACTCTAAACCTGAAGCCCTGAAGTGGCTTTTTACTTTGCTATATACACAGATAGTTTTATAAACATCCATAATATTGTGGGCATTGTTTGAACCTCTCCGCCAAGAAAAGTAAACGTCAGTGGTTTAGGTCTTTTTTTTTCTTTTCTTTTTTATTATGGAAAATTTCAAATGTATTCAAAGCAGAGAGAATAGGGTAATGAATCCCCATACCATCACCCTTCGGTATGCTTTTCTCTTTCCTCCTAGTTGTAGAACTTCCACTCAGCCAGCCTTCCTGTGGTTCTGGATGATGTCCGTTCCGTCTTTTAGTTGTATTTTTGAAGTGGTTGTTCGAGGCAGCAAACTCCCGTGTTTACCTATGCCGCCATCTTGGTTTCCTCAATATCAAGAATTCTTATACATGTTCTTCCTCCCATAGTTTATTTGAATCAGGGTGCAAGTAAGATCCAGACATCCCAACAGATTCGTGTCACCTAAGTGTCTTTCAAGACCACAATATTTTAACCTCTCTTTCTCTCTCGGTTTTTCTCTTTAGTTTATTTATTGAAGAAACCAAGTTGTTTATCCTGTAGAAATTTTCAGTCTGGATTTTGCTTATTGGACTGGTCTGATCAGATTTAGTTCTGATTTTTTTTGGGGGGGAGGGGCAGGAATACTTGTTAGGTGGTGCAGCACAGCTTAATATTCTTAACATTACTATATCTCCTGTTAAACTATGAGAAAAGTAACAATTCTCATTAGAAGTGTTTCTTACAGTATGACTTAGAAAAAAATATATTAATGTATGTGTAAATAGTGACTTTCACAACCAGTTGTATGGCCTAAATTCTTGGGGGTAAAAACCTATATTATATTCATAATGTTAACATGAAATCAAATGTTTGCTTGAACTCACAGAAGACATTGAATTTCCTGATAATTGTCTTGATACTCAGAGTTAACTATTAACTCTTATGAAATAATCTGGCACATGGTAAACAATGACAAAGCATTAAAATAAGCTGCTGCTTTAATTGTGGGAGGTTTAATTTGCTTTACTGAATAATGTTAAATAATGTACACTTTATGGCCTTTGGTGTATGATCTTTGATTTTTGTACACAGGTGTTATTTGAGAGCGAGTCTAGACCTTTAACTTACAATATAAACTTCTCTTTCTTTAACACATGTAATTCTATACTCTTAAGTTATCTCATATAACTGGTAAATAGTATGTACAGCTCCTTTTCTTTTTTTCTTTTTAGCCAGGACTAAAAGAAGTGGTAGAAGCCTGTCGAGGAAAAAATCTATTTTTTTCTACCAATATTGATGATGCCATTAAAGAAGCCGATCTTGTATTTATTTCTGTAAGTATTTTCCTTTGCTGTGTGTTTTTAATGTATTCTTGTCTGTACAGACGTTTCATTTTATTTTAGTGGTAAATGCATTGTAGTAAGCCACAGCATTGCTTAGGATAGCATTATCCAGTTGAATTTTGGTTGTCACTGACTTTGTCCAAAACCTTGTCAAACCCTATAATCATTTGGTCAAATATGTCATTAGATCATTGAACAAATAAATTCAGAGAAAGTTCTAGTTTGAGATCTAGAATTAGGAAGTGCTGGTAATGTGTGAGCACATATGGTGATAGTATTTTATTTCATCATTTTCCCCTGTCTGGTTGGTGGAGGTGAGGTAAAGAGAATCAGGTGAAGTTTGCTTGTAAACTTACAGGCATCTCCTATCTAGATGAATTATGTTCCAAAACTCATTTTAAATTAATTTGGAACTTGGCATCTGTTGGTTAGGTTGTCAGGCTAGCCTACAGACACCTTCAGCTCATAGAACGGCTAAACTATTGCACCTTTGTAATTAAAAAAAATAATAGATTCAATACTTGGGAGTAAACTCTGATAATCCAGTACTTGAACCAAGGTAACTTATTTCTTGCTGTCCTGGTAACCATCTACTCACATATTCTGTGTGTGTGGGTATAGTTATCACCAATTGGTGTCTGAGCTAGGATGTTATAGTACTCAAGACCGTTAGGGCCTTACAGAATAAAGGTGAAGCCAGTGGCGTGAGTTTTGACTGGGTCCCATGAGTTTTGACATTTCTTCTTTAAAGGGAAGAAATGTCATGAGGTCCATCTACCCTCTAAGCATATTGTTAATGACTATAAGTTAAAAAAAGGGTGTTTTCTGACTGGTGAGACAGAAGCAGTACTGTGAAGGTATGTGAACTCCAGAAAAAAAGTGGTAATGAAGCCAATCTCTCTCCCTTTTTGGCCATTTTAATTACTTCAGAGCAATTGGTGCAGCTTCTATGACTCACCTACCCATCCTCTACTTAAGCTTGCAGGCGGAAAACCATCTGATCATCTCCCATCTCTGGCATGTTCTGCCTTATCCAGTGATGGCGAACCTATGACACGCGTGTCAGAGGTGACACGTGAACTCATTTTTTTGGTTGATTTTTGTTAAATGGCATTTAAATATATAAAATAAATATCAAAAATACATATAAACAAGTTTTTCTTCCTGCTTTTCACTCCTCAACTCAATCCTCAAATTTTTATTTATTTTGGCTTGATTTCTTTATTTAGTCCCCCATTAGGTTATAAGCTTGTCTAAGAGAAGAAAATTGGCACTTCTTCCTACTGGTTCAGAAATTATTCCTGTATAGAATTTTATAATTTTCAGTGTACTTCCAGTTTTTTCTTCTTCTTGTACTTTCATTTTTATCAGAGTGTTATAAAACTCATGTGTTAGATTTTAAAGAGTGTATTATCCTGAATAGGTCATTGAGGCAAAGGCAGCCACACTTCCCCAAGGTTATGTAATAGAGCTAAGCCAAAACTAAATGCCTAGACTCTGGGCTCAGGATTTATTTTTCTTTCTGTTTGATAGTCTTTGTCTACGTAGTATTGTGTATGCTGAAAATGCTAAATCATTCTTAGCTTTAATGTGCCAAGAAGGTATTTGTGAATGATACTGTAAACATTTTTAAAAGCTATTGATATTGGTCTATAAAGAAGGATAGTAAGAAAGGAATTTAAAGACCATGATAATATATTACATACAATGAAGAGAGGAAAGAAGAGAAAATTTACATTTCATTTCAGATTGTGAAGTCCTTTAAGATAAGAACTGTTTCATTCATCTTTATAGCTCTAGCACTTTTTTTAGCTTGGAACTTGCCTGGCTTGGTGTCTGACACATTTATGGTAGTTCTCAACAGAAATTTATTAAATGAATTCTCCAGAAGCTTCAAGCTATTCCTTCTGGTGATTATATTTATAAAATGTATTGTTTTTGAGGAGCGAATGAGGATTAAAATCAGGGCTACTATTGACAGGTAACTTCCCACTTGACTAGCTAATTGATGGTCCACGGCCTATCTTGAAATCGCTGAGTATCTCACAGATAATCTGTTCTTAATCCCGGATACTTTCACCAGGTGAACACTCCAACAAAAACCTTCGGAATGGGGAAGGGCCGTGCAGCAGATCTGAAGTACATTGAAGCCTGTGCTAGACGCATTGTACAAAACTCACATGGGTACAAAATTGTGACCGAGAAAAGCACGGTTCCTGTGAGGGCAGCAGAAAGTATTCGTCAAATATTTGATGCAAACACAAAACCCAACTTGAATCTACAGGTATAAAAAAGAGGAAGCATTAGAATCTGGTTTTTCATATGTAAATATTGATGTCTTAAATTTGTTCACAGTGAACTCTAGCTTAAAACTTCCTTTGCATTGGGATTCTAGGTTCTGTCCAACCCTGAGTTCTTGGCAGAAGGAACGGCCATCAAGGACCTAAAGAACCCAGACAGAGTACTGATTGGAGGGGATGAAACCCCAGAGGGCCAGAGAGCTGTGCAGGCACTGTGCGCTGTGTATCAGCACTGGGTTCCAAAAGAAAAGATCCTCACCACTAACACTTGGTCTTCAGAACTTTCCAAACTGGTTGGTACATAGCATTCAACTCTCCATTAATTTAAGGCCAAGGATTTATTTCTCTTATAAACTGTTAGGTTACACAGCTACTTTCTTAATATTAACAAAAGGTATCCTTTTGAAGATAATATGCCTATACATTATGAAATAATTTTCACAAGGGGGATTAAATATTCCCCCTTATATAAAATATTCTGGAAAATTCTATAATTTTAATAAAATTGAAGAAAATGGAGGGTAGAATAAAAGTATTTTTTAAAGTCATTCCCTTCTTTTACCCTCTTTCACAATCATCTTCTTTTTCTAATTAAGACATTTTCCCTTACCAACCTATCTATTGACTCCTCAAATTGAGCCCATCAGTAACTTTTATATCTCCCTCAGTAATTTGCATCAACACAATGAAATATAATCCAGATGTATAAAATTGCTATTTTAGCTTATCATAGTTTTCCTTTTTTTATTTTTTAAGGCAGCAAATGCTTTTCTTGCCCAGAGAATCAGCAGCATTAACTCTATAAGTGCCCTCTGCGAAGCAACAGGAGCAGATGTAGAAGAGGTGGCAACAGCCATTGGAATGGACCAGAGAATTGGAAATAAGTTTCTGAAAGCCAGTGTTGGTAAGCTGAAAATTTCAGTACATAAAGTGGGTTCATTTAGCTGGGTCTCTAAATTTAAGGAAGTCTCGCCCAGCTGGTGTGGCTCAGGGTTGAGCGTCGACCTATGAACCAGGAGGTCACGGTTTGATTCCAAGTCAGGGCACATGCCTGGGTTGCTGGCTCAATCCCCAGTAGAGGGCGTGCAGGAGGCAGCCGATTGAGGATTCTCATCATTGGTGTTTCTCTCTCTCCCTCTCCCTCTCTGAAATCAATAAAAATCTACTTTAAAAAAAATACATCTAAGGAAGTCTTTAACTTAATGCCCTTAAAATAATCATTCCATTATACATGTAGCCTTCAGCCTATCAGGAATTTTTTTTTTAATAAAGTATTTTTATTGATTTCAAAGAGGAAGGGAGAGAGAGATAGAAACATTGATGATGAGAGAGAATCATTGATCAGCTGCCTCCAGCACACCCCTTGCTGGGGATCGAGCCCACAACCCAGGCATGTGCCCTTGACTGGAATCAAACCCAGGACCCTTCAGTCTGCAGGCCAACACTATCCACTGAGCCAAACCAGCCAGGGCTATGAGGGACTTTTTAAGTGAGGTAACAGTTACTTATGTGGTTTAATAATTATTGACCGATTAGTAGGATAAACATACTTCAGTGTCTTAGAAGGAATAAATTAGTATTTAGTAAGAACATTTAAGAAGAGTAAGTTTGGGAGGCCACATAAAAAAAAACCTCAAGTAATATCCAAAGCAAGTAGCAAAAATTTGCTATCATTTGCTCTTCTTACAAATATACTTTTAGAAATCTGGCTTTGATCTTCATTATTTCCAGATTCCATATTTGTGAGTTAGCTTACTCACTACAGTTTATTTCTAACCTCCTAATCAATCCTCGGGGTGCTTTGTGGTTATTTGCAGAAATGAACAGAGGAGCAAAAAATTTGAGTCACCTGACATACATTCCCAGCTAGAGCTGAATAAGGCAGTGCTCTTGCCTTCCTGTTTCAGCTTTCATACTACAAACATGCACTGTTTTTGTGGTTTATTAAGTTCCAAGGGTTTTGCATTTTTGTGCTTTTCGGTTATGGTTTCACTGTTTAAAATGCATCCAGGAGAAAATACATGTGGTTAAGCTTCATTCCTGCATGCGTGATAGTGCTGATGGCTGTGAGTTCAATGTTAATGAATCAATCATATGTATTAAATAAGGTGTCTCTAAACAGAAACACGTAAAACAAGATTATTGATTGATTGGTTGATGAAAATGTGACCAGAAGCTCATAGGAACCTAACCCTGTATTTCATCTAGGAGCAGTGCTACAGTATTTGCTAATTCAGCAATCTGTAGAACATAACTACCAAGTAAAATGAGAACTGATTTGATTGTATTTTTGGATATAAGTAAATAAGGTTGATGTAAAAGTAAACAGAGCCTCTTTAAAAAATTTTTTTTTTGTAATCCTCACTGAGGATATTTTTTCCAATGATTTTTAGAGAGAATGGAAGGGAGAGGGAGAGAGGGGATGGGGGTGGGAGAGAGAAAGATCGATGTGAGAAAGACACATTGACCAGCTGCCTTCTGCACGAGGGCCGGGGATCAAACCTGCAACCAGGTATGTGCCCTTGACTGGGAATTGAACCCACTACCTGTAGCCCCACTGGCCAGGGCGTAAACAGAGCCTTTTACACATTGGTCCATAGGGCAGCCTTTCTTGTATTTCCGGGACCTTATGCCATTTTCCAATACTGGTTTCCCTGGCTTTTTGTATCTTTTTGATATTTTTCTTCTAGCTACCATTTAATAAAAATAACTACAATTTACTGAAGCCATATTGTGCACCAACTTCAGAACCAGCACTTTATATATCTCATTATTAATCCTTACAACCTGTAAGAAAGGTGCTGGTATTTTCTTTATAGAGGTAATTGAGGTTCAGGGACATTTTGCAACTTGCTCAAAGTCATACAGCTACTGAGTGGCTAGGTGTTTCTGACTCCAGAGCTCATGCCATCCCTCACTGTATACGGCATTGCACTAGAATAGGGGTGGGCAAAATATGGCCTTCAGGCCAAATCCTGCCCAGTTTATTTTTGTAAATAAAGTTTTATTGGAACATAGCCCCAACCATTTTATTACATATAGTCTATGATTGTTTCTGAGCTACAAAGGCAGAGTTGAAGAGTTGTGCCAGAGCGCTGGTGGTACTTCTCAGTGGTTAGAGCATCAGCCTGCGGACTGAAGAGTCACGAGTTTCATTCCTGTTCAATGGAATGTGCAGGAGGCAACCAACCCATATGTCTCTCACTTTGATATTTCTCTCTCTCTGTCTCTCCCTCTTCCTTCCATTCTCTCTAAAAATCAATGGAAATAATATTGTCGGGTGAGGATTAACAACAAAAGAAAGTTGTGCCAGAGACTGTATGGCCTACAAAGATTTAAATATTTGCTACTGGCTCATCAAAGTTTGCCAGCTCTGTCTGTGCTAAAGTTAGATATGTGGGGCAGTTAGACGACTGAGAAAAAAAATAGAAAATATGAAAATAATAAAACTTCAGCTAGAAAATTATTTGGGGTTTATTTATAGAATTGATTAGTTGCCAGCAAATTTCACACAATTTGTAAACCCACTGATTTTCCAGTATTACAATTTTAGTATTTAAAATCCCAGCATAGGCCCTCTGATTTAGTATGACAAATTTGTCACGATTCAGTTTTGTGGTATCCTGAATGAAAATATTGTCATTTTCTTTTTTCTTTCTTTAGGTTTTGGTGGGAGCTGCTTTCAAAAGGATGTTCTGAATTTGGTTTATCTTTGTGAGGCTCTGAATCTGCCTGAAGTAGCTCATTATTGGCAACAGGTATTGATCTTTATAGTCAACAACTTTTATGATTAACTTCTAATTAAAAATGTCACTTTTTGTGAAATGTTTTTGATAGGATTTATTTATTCCAGGAACTCAACTATTATTATATTCAATTTTTAAATTTTAGGTTTATTTACTGGGTTTCGGTGTTTTTGTCTCTTGCTAATCAACTGTGATAGAAGTTTCTGATAAAGGAGTATTTCTTCTAATTTTATAACTAAATTTGCTCCTAGAGTAAAGCAAGAACTTACTCTAAATTGTAATTATTTATCATTAAATACATAAAATCAAAATAAAGGAAGGACCTGTATTATAATGATTTCATGTGGTATGCATAGGCTGATATTTGTCTTGTCCCTTTGAGCTAAAATTAGAGACCTTTTCAAATTGGAAATAGAGTTAACATTTATTGAGTCCTTACTCTGTGCCAGATTCTCTCTTTTTTAAAAAAAAAAATATATGTATTTTTAAATTTATTTTAGAGAGGAAGGGAGAGGGAGAGAGAGAGAGAAACATTAATGATGAGCGAGAACCATTGATCAGCTGCCTCCTGCACACCCCACACTGGGGATCTAGCTTGCAACACCAGGCATGTGCTCTGACCAGGAATTGAACCTGTGACCTCATAATTCATAGGTCAACGCTCAACCACTGAGCCACACCAGCCGGGCCAGACTCTCTTTTTTAAGTGCTTTGCTTAGTTCTCATTTATACTATTAGTCCTAATAGTATCCTTCATTTGTAATAAGGAAATTGAAACTTACAGATGTTAAGTAATTTATCCAAGATACCAGCCAGTATATGTACCTTTCCCAAATATTTTTCCCCCCAAGTTTGTAGTTTTTCAGATTTCAGCAATGGGTAGGAATGTAAGGAAATACACATTTTAAAAAATGGAAATGTATACTGAATTCCACACGATAGCTTTATCTTACTGTCCATTGGGGGGCAAATGCAGATAAAGGCTTGCTTTTCCAACACTGTGGGCTCATTTCCCATTCTCAGGATACAGCTCCTTGAAGCTTAGAGCCTTAAAAAAACCTCCTCCCCAAAAAACCCCCCCCACACACACAGAAAAGTAGTCTCTTTCCTTACATTCATTTGGTCACCAACATGAAGTCTTGTTTATAAACTTTTAGGAGAGAAACAATTAGGTGATCAGAGACTTTGACCCATAACATTTAGTTAAAAACTGCCAAATGTTCATGGTGTTATAGTTCATCCAGAGGCAGCTGTAACTCTGTACAATGTTTAACAGTCCTCTGTCCACTTTCTATTCACACTCAATTGTGGGGAGGGGTGGGAGTAAGCATATGAGGAAGTACTTTGAGATTTGATTGCTTACAGCCCTGCTTCCACAGGGTTTGGAGAAGTTAGCTAGGGAGAACACTGCTTCTATGTGCTTATTTAGGCTGGCCTCTCATAGCTAGACCTCAAATGCTGTGTTCTCCATCTTTACATCCATCCCAGCCTGATGCATGGAAAGATAAGCCAAATGAAAAATACAAATTTTAGTATGGCTTTAAGGAGCGGGGAGGGGGTTTTTGTTTTTTTAATCTGTAGATACTAAAGTGGTTGGCTAATCTTTGTCTCCTGTTGATTTATAAGCCTTGGATTCATACAATAGTATGCATCATAAAACTAAGCAGTGTATGGCACAACCGGTACCTCTTTAATCGTTGCAAAATTGTACATGTAATTTCAGGTTATAGATATAAATGACTACCAGAGGAGGAGGTTTGCTTCCCGGATTATAGATGGTCTGTTTAATACAGTGACTGATAAGAAGATAGCTATTTTGGGGTTTGCATTCAAAAAGGACACTGGTGATACAAGGTATTAGTTCTTTAAACCATTTCAATCCCTTTGAGAGTGTTAACTCCTTATCTTATCCTGGTGTTTGACTGGTGGATGAGTGTGTAAAACACCTGTATGTACATAGTATAAAGAATAAAAATAAAGTGAACATCCATATCTTCACGAGATATAGAATCTTACCTGTACAGAGTGGGCAAAAGTAGGTTTAAAGTTGTTCATATGGAAAATAATACAATAATTAATAAATATTATATGGGGGGTAGGGGAATTGAGTAAAACAGAAAAAACAACTCATGGGCACAGACAACAGTGTGGTAATTGCCAGAGGGAAAGGCAGTGGAGAGACGTGCATGACAGTTTGGGGGGGTAAATGATAGACGAAGACTTGACTTGGGGTGGTAAACACAGAGTACAGTGTACAGTAATGTGTTGTAGAATTGTGCACTTGAAACACGTATAATTTTATTAACCAGTTGTCACCCCAATAAATTCATTAAAAAGGAAAAAATATAAGAATAAACTCCGTTTCTTGTATTCACAATTATAAACTTTTGCCCCGCCCTGTATATTAAATGCCTAAGGTATTAGAATATATGCCATTTAAAAGCTTAACAACACTGGGTTTTTTTCATCAGAGAATCTTCTAGTATATATATTAGCAAATATCTGATGGACGAAGGTGCACACCTCCATATATATGACCCGAAAGTGCCAAGGGAACAAATAGTGGTGGATCTGTCTCATCCAGGAGTTTCAGAGGATGATCAAGGTAAGGCTTTGAGTATCATGAATCACTTTGAGTATTGGTTGGCCTGTTTCACCATCATTTCTCTAATGAAACCCTTAGGCCCTGGCCAGTTTACTAAGTGGTTAGAGCAGGTTCTATTCCTGATCAAGGGTGTGTTCCTTGGTTGCAGGTTTGATCCCCATCCCTGGTTGGGGCTCCTGCAGGAAGCATTTGATGTGTCTCTCTCACGTCAATGTCTCTATCTCTATATCTCTATCTCTCCCTCTCCCTCTCCCTTCCTCCCTCCCTCTCCCCTCCCTCCTCCCTTACACTCTCTCTAAAAATCAGTGATTTTTCCTACATATTCTAAAAAGCCCCAGAGGCTCCAAGCAGATGCTTCTGGGGCACCCCTGGGGTGCTTCTTGGCCACCTCATTCCCCTCACACACTTCCACCGGACCATTCCATTTCTTTCAGGCCCTCAACTCCTCCTGCAATCCTAGTGTTAAAATGCACAGTTTCAAATAACTCCTTTCCTATTGCCAATTTTTTTGTTGTTATAGTGTCCCAACTTGTGACCATTTCTAAGGATCCATATGAAGCGTGTGATGGTGCCCATGCTGTTGTTATTTGCACCGAGTGGGACATGTTTAAGGTGAGGTGGCGAAATGGCATTGGGGAAAATTTTAGAGGTGTTCTAGTACCAGTTGGGGTTGAATATGTGCTCATGCGTGTATTCTAACTGCTCCTTTGGTTGTCTCTATAGGAATTAGATTATGAACGTATTCACAAAAAAATGCTGAAGCCAGCCTTCATCTTCGACGGACGACGTGTCCTGGATGGGCTCCACCATGAACTGCAAACCATTGGCTTCCAGGTAATCATGGCCTAGATGGTGTTATGTTGTTTGGCCATTTGCTTTCCAATGATGTTGCATTTTAGTATTTTAATATTTTCTCATTTACAATAACATGACTCTAGGGCAGTTCTCCGGGAAATCTCTATGGGATTTTTGTAACTATTCTATTCCCTCCTTAAATTTATGATCTAGCCTTAGCCGGTTTGGCTCAATGGATAGAGCATCAGCCTGAGGACTGGAGGGTTCCCAGTTCAATTCCAGTCAAGGGCACATCCCAGGTTTCGGGCTCAATCCCCAGTGGGGGGCGTGCAGGAGGCAGTCAATCAATGATTCTCTCTCATCATTGATGCTTCTATCTCTCTCTTCCTTTCTCTTCCTCTCTGAAATCAATAAAAATATATTTTAAAAAAATGTGTGATCTAAAGGTCATTCAGTCTTGGTCTTCCTTACATAGTAGCTAGATAAAGTTATTAGTTGCCTATCATATAGGGACAAAATATGCCCTGCCTGACCTTGTATCATAAAAATCATGAAAAGATATAAAAAAAAATTTTCCTGTAACTGCAAGGCTGCTTTGCTAAACTGTCTGCAGCACACTGACTCCTCAGAGGCCAGGTCTTTCATTCCTACACAAATGACTGGAAAACCGCAGAATGCAGTGTAGTTGCCACGTGTTGGTATAGGATCCTATGCCTTCTGAATTCTGAAACTGTCCTAGTGCTGAGAGGTCTGAAGGAGACGAGGGAGCTTCAGTGGTCCTGGCCCTCTGCTTCTTCAGTTTGTCACTTAACTGTGGAATGCTTAGAGAGCTGACAGAAACCTCTGCCCAGAACAGAACGTTCATATGTTGCATTGATTTCAGTTCTACCAGGCGTCCTAAGATTAGTAAGAAGGAGCCACTTTCCGTTTCCTCACAGCAGTGTATAGGGGGCGGGAGGCCAGGTTGGGGGGGTGGGCGGTAAAGAAATGTGCCAGGGGATTGCTGTCAGCATAGGCCCCTAGCAGAGTGGAAGCGGACAGAGTTCAGAGCTGGCTGGGTGCTGAGAAGGCCTCATCTGTTAAAATATCAGATCTGGTTCTCTTAACCTTCACCGAATTGTTGAAGCTCTTTCTTATTTAGAATTGTGTTCGTTTCTCATTCATGAGAGATTCACTTGCAGCAAGAATCAGATGGCAGCCTCATCTGTTAACATTTCATCAAGGACCTTGGGATTCTTCTCTCCCACCCCTCCTTACCGAGTAACAACATGACTTCCCAGTCCTTACTGAACTCAGCAGTGTTATTTTTTTTTTTAATATATTTTATTGATTTTTTACAGAGAGGAAGGGAGAGGGATAGAGATTTAGAAACATCGATGAGAGAGAAACATTGATCAGCTGCCTCCTGCACACTCTCCACTGGGGATGTGCCTGCAACCAAGGTACATGCCCTTGACTGGAATCGAACCTGGGACCCTTGAGTCCGCAGGCCGACGCTCTATCCACTGAGCCAAACCCACTGAGCCAAACCGGTTAGGGCAGCAGTGTTATTTTTTAAAGATTATTTGCAAGGCATAGACAGACTTTCTCTCATTCCTGTTGAACTCACGTAAGGGAGAAGATGTGTAAAGGGTATATATTTCAAATGAGTTTTAGTTCTTATAAGTTAACTTTTCCTAGTAAGCATTTTATTTACTTATTTTTAAATATATTTTTATTGATTTCAGAGAGGAAGGGAGAGGGAGAGAGAAACAGAAACATCAATGATAAGAGAGACTTATCGATCAGCTGCCTCCTGCACGCCCCCC